TCCCAGCATAGCGCATATGCGAGGGTAATCACAACAACTCAAGAGAAAAACAACACCCTATTAAATCAAATTAAAAAAAAACAATTTGATGCATCGAAGGAAGAAATAGAAAAACATGGAAGGACTGAAATGAAATAAAACCTTGTTGGATGCTATCAATTGCCTTGTTCTTTTAGCTTTCTGTATAATGTAATGGGCAGGTCTTATTACTTGAGTGTGTGATGCAAGAGATAGTCATTGCAGATTTTAGTTGCCTAAGTTTGATCCTTTGTGGAGCTCCTTGCAAGTCTTTTTTTTCACCTTATTCATAATTTTCAAAAAAAAAAAAACATTTACCGATCATAGCTTTAGATTAATGTGTTATTGGAAGCAAAGAGGAGCTAGTATCATTCGTGCAGGGTCACAGTGATCTTCATCAGCCTTCCATTCCTTTCTCTCTTTGCTAGGTGAGTACTTGTACATATTATTCTTTTATTTGTTTGTCATTATCTTTATAATATGCCTTTTATCTTAATTATGTCATAAATTTGCTTTTTTGTGGGAATTGCTGCTTTAAACTCATAAGTGTAAACTATTTTGTTTCAATGTATTCGTTAGATCGATGGTATTCTATCTTTCACTAATGAAATTCTGTTTATTGGTTTTGAGAAGGAAAAAAAAAGTATTTCTATCTTTGTTTTATGGAAAAAGCACATAGATCTATATATGAACTATATATATCGAAATTGAAGATAATAAAATTGAAACCAAATCAGCTTCATTAGATAAAGATGTTGTGTAAATAAGCGTATGATGTAGAGATAGTCATTACAGATTTTAGTTGGCTAAGATTGATCCTTTGTTGAGTTCGTTCCATTAATTATACTTCCTTGCAAGTCTCCTTATGCAGACTATCTTAATTATGTCATCAAATTACACTTTTTCTCCTCTTTTTAACATAAAGTCGTTCTTTTATAAATATTTTCATTAGAGTGATGATATTCTATCTTTCACTAAAGAAATTCTTTTTATTGGTTTTGAGGGGAAAAAAAAGTATTTCTATCTTTTTTATGGAAAAGCACAGAGATCTATAAACTATGGTGTAAATAATTGTTAGGGTAAGTGTGAATTTTAACACATGGCGTGGATAGATATTGATGAGGGAACAAAGGGATTAATTGTTTATCGTTCTACTTATACCTGGCCTTGTTGCTTTTGAAGCTGGCTTCCATACAGAGCTAAAGGCCTTCTTCCTTTTGTTCCTCTCGCTATATTTAATTATTGGACAGTCAGTACCAGTGCTTTCCGCATATATTTTCACAAATTAAGGTAATAAAATTACTATTCTCATTCTCTCATTGCCTATTTTACTTGTAAAGATTCACTCTCACACTCAGCATCCTCATTTCTCTAATTTTTCAGACTGGTGGAAAATGGCTATCGAATGTGTTGGTGGATCTATTGTATCTAAGATAGCAGAACTCTTGGTGGAACCAGCAATCAAGCAGTTCCGTTACATGTTCTGTTTCAACAATTTTGTTCAAGAATTCGATGAACAAATGATGAACCTGGCTTTGGCATTTTATCGTCTGCAAGATGCTGTCGACGTTGCTCAACGGAATGCTGAAGAAATTGAGATTGATGTCAACACATGGCTGGAAGACGCAAAAAACGAAATTGAAGGTGTGAAACGTTTGCAAAATGAAAAAGGAAAAATTGGCAAATGCTTTACTTGGTGCCCAAATTCGATGCGACAATTCAAGTTAAGCAAGGCACTGGCAAAGAAGACGGAGACTTTGAGAAAACTTGAAGCAAACTGTAAGTTTCCAAAAGTGTCTCACAAAGCACCTCTTCAAGACATAGAATTTCTTCCATCAGAGGGATTCACACCCTCGAAATCGTCAAAAGAAGCTTCCGAACAGATTATGAAGGCTCTCAAAGATGACAATGTCAAAATGATCGGACTGTATGGCATGGGAGGGGTGGGTAAAACCACCCTGGTGAAAGAAGTGGGCAGGAGAGCCAAAGAGTTGCAGTTGTTTGATGAAGTTTTCATGGTTACACTGTCCCAGAATCCAAATGTCCAAGGCATTCAGGATCGAATGGCAGAACGTTTAGGTCTGCATATTGACGAAAAGACCAAGGAAGGGAGAGCAGATCGATTGTGGCAGAGACTGAAGACAGAGAAGAAGATGCTTATTATCCTGGATGATGTTTGGAAAGATATTAACTTGAAAGAGATAGGGATCCCATTTGGTGATGCTCACAGGGGTTGTAAAATTCTTCTAGCAACACGTCTTGAAAACATATGCTCTTCTATGGATTGCCAGGAAAAAGTGTTTTTAAGAGTCCTATCCGAAAATGAAGCATGGGCTTTATTCAAAATCAATGCAGGTTTACGTGATGAGGACTCTGACTTGAACAGAGTGGCAAAGAAGGTTGCGAGAGAATGCCAAGGCTTGCCTATAGCACTTGTGGCAGTGGGAAAGGCTCTAAAAGGTAAATCTAAAAATGAGTGGGAAGTAGCATCTGAAGAGCTCAAAAAATCTCAATCTCGGCACGTAGAAACATTTGATGACAGAAGAAATGCATATGCATGTCTTAAATTGAGCTATGATTATTTGAAGCACGAGGAAACCAAGTTATGTTTCTTGCTATGTTGTTTATTTCCAGAAGATAACAAGATTCCAATCGAGGAGTTGACGAGATATGCAGTTGGCTACGGGTTATATCAAGATGTGCAGTCCATTGAAGGTGTAAGGAAACGAGTTTATATGGAAATCGAAAACCTCAAAGCTTGTTGTATGCTGTTAGGAACTGAAACTGAAGAATATGTGAAAATGCATGACTTGGTTCGTGATGTTGCTATTCAGATAGCATCATCAGAAAAATACGGATTCATGGTGAAGGCTGGCATTGGGTTGAAGGAGTGGCCAACGGGCAATAAAAGCTTTGAAGGCTGTACAACAATCTCGTTAATGGAGAATAAACTAGCAGAACTTCCTGAAGGATTGGTGTGTCCACAGCTCAAAGTTCTATTGTTAGGACTGGATCGTGGTTTGTATGTTCCAGAGAGTTTTTTTGAAGGGATGAAAGCAATTGAAGTTTTGTCTCTAGAGGGAGGGTGTTTGTCATTGCAATCACTTCAATTCTCGACGAACCTTCAATCGTTGCTGTTGTTCGAGTGTGAATGCAAGGACCTTATCTGGTTGAGAAAGCTGCAAAAACTTAAGATTCTTGGTTTTACAGGGTGCGACTCTATTAAAGAATTACCTGAAGAAATTGGGGATCTCAAGGAGTTAAGGTTGTTGGATGTTACAGCTTGTGAATTCCTAAGAAGGATTCCTGTGAATTTGATTGCAAGGTTG